GGAGAAAGATGTGGCAGTCTGCTTCAGTCAAGTTTTACAGCTTTGGAAACCCTATGGGGCAGTTTTACTCTGTCCTATAAAGTCACGACTCAACGGCAATGGGTTTTACCTATTCTTTGTTCAATATCCTTTCCTTTCTAATGCTCTCATTCTGTCTTGGTTCCTGCTCAAAAACCAGAGGCTCCCTCTTCTTACCTTATAGAATGGAAATGCAATGTGCCTTTCAGCTCATCTTTCCCCTTACACCTAACACAACCTTTATGCTCTAGCCTGGGGGCAGCAAACTTTTTCTGCCAGACAGTAAGTATTCTGGGCTTTGTGGGCTGATGGCTGCAACTACTTAACTGTCATTGTGTCATGAAGGTAGCCATAGACATTAGATAAGTGAATAAACACACCTGTGTATAAAACTTCCTTTATGGACACTGAAATCTGAATTTCATTTAATTTTCAGATGTCACAAAATATTAGTCTTGGTTTTCCTTCAGCTATTTAAAAATGTAAAAAGCATTCTTAGCTTGTAACTACACAAAAACAAGCAGTAGTCTGGTTCATGGGAGAGCTAGTTTGCTGACCTCTGCTCAAACCCTGGGTTTTGCAACCAGGTAGCAGGGAAGTAATGATGTCAATTCTTGTCGTACAGTCTTTCAACATTTACGAATTTCTCTAGAAGTTTCCTGCATTCAGAAATTATCTGGCAGGTTAGACTTTGTTCAGTACTCTGGAGTGATTACACCTGCTACTCCCACTTCCCCCTCCCCCCATCCTTTAACTGGTCCCAGTCTATGTATGTATACTAGTTGGGATTTATTGTCAGTAAAACGCTGTTCTGTGTGGGTGTGTAAAATATTGTTTTTCTGTTGATTTTCTTTTCTTTTACTAGCCCAGAAGACTATTATTATCATCTGGCCTAAGATGTACCTAAACAGAACACAACTGATTTTGTTAAAGTCAAGCCAAGTCTAATTTTTGTCTTGGAACTGTTTTCAATTTTAACTTTGAAATAATCACACTTACAGAAAAGTAGCAAGTACAGTACAAGTGATTTTTATCCTGAGCCATTTGTAAGATGCTCACCTGATGACCCATCACTCCCTAATACTTTAGTGTTTATTTCCGACAAAGACATTGCATACATCCACAGTTCGGCCATTAACATCAGGAAATTGATGCTATTACCATCTAATTCTCTGACCTCTTTCACATTTCACCAATTGTCCCAATAATGTCCTTTACAGCAAAATAATCTAGTTTAGAATTGCATTTTGTTGTCATGTTACTCTCCTTCAGTCTGAAACAGTATCTTCGTCATTCTTTGACTTTGGTGACTTTGACACTTTGGAAGATTATAGGCTAGTTATTTTGCAAAACGTCCCTCAATTTGGATTTGTCTGATGTCTCCTCATGATTACATTCAGGTTTTGCATCTTTGGCAGGAATATCACAGAAGAGATGCTGTGTTCTCAATGCAACCTCCTGTGGTGGAGGATTTAGATTTCTCCCATTACGAACGTTCACATTGTTCACTTAAGGTGGTCTGCCAGGCTTCTCCATTGGGAAGTGACTTTTTCCCATTGTAATTAAGAAATACTTTATGAGAAGTTACTTTGGAACTAGGTATGTATGCTGTTCCTCATTAAACTTTTCATTTGCTTATTTCTTATTTATATCAGTATAGTCACATGTTGTACTTAGATGCCACTGAGTTGATTCCCGACTCATAGCAATCCCACGGGGCAGAGTAGAACTGCCCTATAGGGTTTTCTTGGTTGAAATCTTTATGAAAGCAGATCACCAGGTCTTTCTCCGGTGAAGCTGCTGGATGAGTCTGAACTGCCAACCTTTCAGTTAGCAGCAGAGTGCTTAACCGTTTGCATCACCAGGGCTTCTTATAGACACACAGTTCCCTATTTTATTCAATGAGTTATAAGCAGTTAATATTTATTTTGATGCTCAAATCTTCCTAGAGAAAGTCCCTTAAAGCTGGCTCGTGTCCTTTTGACATGTCCCCATAATTTTTTACTACTTCTTTGCTTTCTGGCTTATCTTGTACTTCTTCTGGCCCAGCCACGGAATCCGTCATCTCTCCAAAGAGTCTTGGCTCCTTTCAGTGGAGACTGTGGTGCCCAGATCTGGATGCTAGGTGTGCACATGCAATGTGGGAGGGGGGTACTGCTCCAAGGCTCGTGCAGTAGACATAGCTAGAATGTTTGTATACACATGCATACAAATATATATACACACATACATTTACATCTATATTTCTGTATCTACGCTGAAATTCACAAGTTCACACTGATATCTCCATTTCAAACCCAACACCAGAGTTTTTCCTTTTCCAATTTGTAACATTGTCTCCAAAAATAAGAAACCTGGCTTCCATTAGTCTTAATGTTTTTGCTTGTGTGATCAAGCCCCCCTATTTCTAACCAGCCTGCAGTTGCTGCTGTCACCCCTCCCCTGCATGGATGCCTTTCTCATCCTACTTGAGGTCTGACTCCCTGCCCCAGGTCACACCACCAGCTTCCAAGTGGACCACTCCTACACCAGGCCTCACATCCTGTGGATACCTAGCTTGCTCTGTCCCACGTAACAGCTGAATTGTGGGTAAGGAGAAAGCACTGTGCAAGTAAGAAGCCCCGAAGCTTAAGCAGCAAGTTTGCTTCTTCAGGGAAGTTAGAAAGTGCCTAGGCCCAGTGCTTGGCAACAGAGCGGGCATAAAACTTCAGATACTGCTGAAGGACTCTGTATCCAGCCTGCTTGTCTGTTAAACACGGACCCATGACTTGTTCCACCCTAGAAAACAGGTCCTAATGAACTTCTGCTGTTCAACCAAAAATGACACAGACTGACAATAAAGTCTTATCATTTTAACTGACTTTAATGATTATTGCTCATCTGCAAGGATTAATATTGCATTCATTAAAAATCATTCAATACAAAATAAACTTGTTCCTCCCAAGTTGCTCTCCACACGCTCCCTCTGATGCCAGACATTTTTCCACAGTGTCCTTTGTTACATGGCTTGACAGAGATGGAGCCCTTACCTATTATTCCTATGGACACAGAAATTGATATGGGAGCTGGGACAGGCCGGAGGGCAGCAGGACCTGGCCCCTTCCTTCCAGCAGAGCTGACGCGTGATATACACTGTTGGCCAGGTTACCGCCCCTAATGTGGATGTGGTGTTCTGATTGGCTGGTTAAGTGCCCTGGGAAAAAGGGCTTGAACCGTTAGCATCTACAGAGAAGAAAGGGTGGTCACACTGGCAAGGAGTGGGAACGGACTCAGTGGGGAGGAACAGAGGACAGGGAAAAAAGTTTTGGCAAGACAATTGTCCCCTGCTAGGAAGCTGCAGGTGAAAGCTTTCCTTTCTTATGTTCCTGTTTTTAACGTCTGTCTCTCTGATCAGTGGCAATAGAGAAATGAAATTTTCTAGTACCTGGCACGAATGCCGACCCAACTTTGAAGGATCACAAGCTAGAACAAGTTGAGGATTGAGAATCTTGGATAATTATATAGTTAAAGCTCGTGAGCAGAATAAAGCTCATCTGACCATGCAGAGATGCTGGTAAGCAGGGTGCACGGCATGGGAACGCAGCTCTCCTGATTGGAGAGAGCCTCCCTGGGGATTCTTCCCGTGCGTGAGCCAGGACCTCCTGATTACTTTCTTTCTCTACACACAAACTGCCCTTTAAATCTTGGTTCATAAAGTTTTTGCGGTATGGGTCTATCAAAAGTGGCACCGTTTCGGTAAAACTAATGTTACATAGGGCCTGAAGTCCCAGACAAATTATACACAGCTAGATTTCTCTCACCCTGGCCCAATTTATCCTTCTTCCTCCCATCCACCTCTACCTCCCTTTAAATATTTTAGGCTGCAGAAGCACAGCAGACCAGAAATTTGCTCTTAAAGGATAAATCCTAAAGAGGGAGCTCAGTGCTTTATACTGCGTAGTGGCTCAAGAAATTCGCCTTCAGCACAAGCTATACAGGGCAGAGCTGATAGACTTTGCTGTTATGGCCCCAGCTCACTGATGCTATAAACTATAGAAACAGAGGGACTTATCAGAGCTTGAGACCAGCATTTCACTAGACTCAACTCGGCACTCATAGCTCCAAAGGTTCAAATAGAGGAACTGGTAACAACTAACCAAGCACTGAAGCAGTTCCTCAGTGTTAACGCTAAGAATTTTTTTTTTGTACAACAGAAATAACAAATGCTAGGGGACAAAATTCAACTTAATAAAGTGCAGTCTGGTTAAAAACTAGAAAAACGAGAGGGTTTACTAGGAGTAGACGAAGGGCTGTACTGAATCCAAGTGGGCCTACTGGACCTTAATAAACAACACTCATTATTACACATCTCTGAACCAGACATACCACCTTTACACAGGAAACAGGGCTTGGAACTTCAGAGGGAAATTAACATGCACCACCTATATCTAACCTACCTGGCTGGTAAGCTACCAACCCCGCTCCTCTGAAGAAGTGAAAGAGCACTGATTTCAGCAGCTGAGAAATGGGCTCTTTTAAGGCAATTTAGACATTGCAGATTGTTCCACATAGAAGGTACCTTAGCATTTCCTGTTAATAAGGTACCCGATTAAGACTAAAGTCCCCAGAAATGGTAAAGAAGGAATCACCTTTCTGGGCTGGGAGAGTAAAATCCTTCGTTAGTGACTAGGGTGAGGAATCTTGAACCTCAGTTTCATCTAAAGAGCCATGAAGCAAGTTCCTGTGTGGTCTGCAGAACTTGGATAATGAGATGAAAAACAAGAATGAAATTATGGGGAAAAAAAATCAAGAGGAAAGGAGTATGAAGAAAATAAAAATTATCTTAAAAAATATTTCTTTTAGATTTGTGTGGTTCATGTGGACTGGTCCTTGGTAATATGGTCCATTAGTATCTGTAAAGAAGGAGAGACTGGTCAGTACTCCTGTCTTCCATATGTGAGTTCCAAGACAAGAATCAGAACCAGCACATTCTCTAGGTCCCTCCAGGGCCCAAGCTGGGGACCCCTGCAGTCATTCCCAGGCCATCTGTGGGCTCAGCATTCTTCCCTGTTCTTCCTCAGGGTTCTGATGATGCCATCTCTGGTTTTTACCTTCTGCTCCCTAATAATATAACTTAGTGGTTTTCAACCCTGACCACACATTAAATAACCTAGATAGCTTTCAAAATAACTTTGCCTGGGCCCCATTCCATTCCATTCCAATTGTATCAGAATCTCTGGGGGTGAGGACCAACCTCTAAAATTTCAGAAAATTCATACTTCTTCACATCTACCACTGGATATACAAGTTCTCTGCCTACTCAGTTAATCTGAAACAGAGTTCTTGTATTCTCCAAAATCAGGTATAGTTCCTCATCTTCACTTAGGAAAGCTGGCTAGCCTGCTTCGTTTACTACTGGGGAAAAGGGCCTTTCAGAAGAACCCTGTGGAAGAACAGGGAAGAAATTACCTGTAATAATTGGGTTTGAATGGCCCATTTTTGTTGAGTCCCAGATATTTTGCTTGGTCATCTGTCAGCTCTGTCAGGTGGGCATCAAATGACGGCAGGTGCAAACTGGCAACATACTCATCTAGGAAGAGCAAAGTGGCAGGGGAGAGGACCACATTTTAAATACTCCTTTCTATTTTCATTTGAAGATCTTGAGAGTGTGGGCAATGGATGGAGTGACTTTGAAAGAATCCACAACTTGAAATGGTCAATTAAAAGAAAACCTCAAAGCTGTCTTTCTGGCAGGGAACTTCTCTCAGTATATCCAGAGTGCACTTCCCTTACCAGGGTGACAAAATGGGGTGGGCTTGTATCACCTTCTCCTTCTCTGGCAAAGTTTTTAGCCATCACCTCAGTGGCCAACATGCCACATACTACTCTCATGTTTCTACAGCAACCTCCTTCAATGGATTAAATTATAGTTAAATTATGAGTCAAAGCAAATACTAGGAAGCTCATAAAGAGCTTTGTGTCATAAACACTTATTTAGGATAAGAACAATAAAGGCCTCAAATCTTAGGATCATATATTTCTAAGGTAGCTAGCACACATTTACTATTCTTCGATAGTATGGATAAGCCTCCCTGGCATTGCCTTTATGAAAATGAAAAAAAAAAAAATTTTTTTTTAACCAATTTGAAGTAAGCTGTGGGAGGGGCTGAGAGCAAGAAATTTTAGCTTTCAGAGGTCAGGGATTTGGACTGACCAATGAGAGATGGGAGGTGGGCACCACTGTTCAAAAAGGTAAAGAACTAGAGATGATGCATTATGTAACATGAATACAGCGGGGCAGTGTCTGGAATTACAGGCAGTCAGGTGAGAGGTGGTCTGCGTATCTACACAGAAGATGGACGATAAAATTTGTGATTGTTTCTCTCTTTTTGGTCCCAGGATATACTTAGTTGCACTGGGGAAATTGAGACAGTTCACGAACTTATGAGGTTACTTAATATAAGAGCATCTACCCTAAGCCACAGTGCTAAGCACTTTTACTCATCATCTGTAATTCTGAATACAATGCTGCAATGTATGCACTGGTATTCCCACTTTACGGATAAAGAAACTGAGACTCAGGGGGATTAGAATTTGTGCCGAGGTCAAACAACCACTACATGCTAGGACTGGGATTAGAACTCTGACTCTAAAGCCAATGCTTTTCATGATACTCATTTTACCAAACCACGCAGCTGTCTGAGGATCAGTGTCGGTGTCTACTCACCCATTTTCTTAGGGAGCAAGTACACATCTTGTTTGTACCGTCCCTCAGGTGCATTGTAGAGTTCTATTAGTGCCAGTGCCTAAAGTGGGAAGGGAGGGTCAGAAAAAACAAACACTTCTTTGATGGGGGCATAAAAATAAACCAGGTCTAACAAGGTCTTAGTAGGAAGTACTACAGTGATCTACCATAGCAACAGCACCCAGGACTCGGCCTGGAATAAACGCTGGCACATACCCCAACAGGATTTGTTGGTGGTTTTGTTTAGTTACTGATAAAAGAACAGACTAAATACAACTAAGCTGGAACACTAGATTCTCAACCAAAACAGCCAACTCAAACGGATGCCAAACACTGACTGTGCCTGACTAATGACTCTTTTCTATACCTGAAGAAGCCTAAGTCTTGACAACTTATGACCTGAAAAAAGAACAGGCTGATAACACAGCACAGCGCTCACTTCCGAGAGGTCTGACCTCCCCCGCCCCACACTCATCGGAACTCTGATCTCTGCCCAGTCCCACTAGTATCACTGCAGGATAAGCAGGCACTGTGTCACACACCTGTGTTGTAGCTGTGATGGACAGAACAAACGTGGGGACTGTGGAGCAGCTCAGATTGAGCAGACGACCCTGAAAAGGTAAAAGAGAGCCCTGGCATCAGCTGTGTCATCCCTGTGTCTCAGATCCAATGTCACACAAGTCAGGCAAGAACAGGAAAGGGCTTTCTATCCCTCTAGACTCAGTCAGAAGAGGAAAAACTACGTTTCAGATCAGAACTCCAGGTTTTATCCTATTTTCCCTAAGTCTACTTGAGTCTGAAAAGCTGAAGAATCAGTTGTGGTAAGGAAATAGTGTTTCTTAGTAAAAAGTAGAATTTTTGAGTGATTCTATTTTGGGGATCAGACATTTTGAAATTATACTTCTATCAAAAAACAACATTCAGGGAAGCCTAGGTCCAAATATTTATTCCCTGCCTCCACCCCAACTGCTATGGTGCACTGCCAGGGCTCTTCTGTGTGTGTACCTCTGCCAGGAGAACGACGCGTTTGCCATCTGGCCAGATGACATGGTCCACCTGAGACCGTACTCGTTCCCATGTCAGCTCAGGAGTGCGGAGGCTGGTCTGAAAAGAAGGCACAGCAGGTTGTGGCTATAATGGAAGGAAGAGGAGAAAGGCCCAGCAAAAATGAATGCGATAAGCCTTACCACATCAATTTCTGTGTTGGAGTGGCCCATATTGCATACAATACAACTGTTCTTCATGCGGTCCAAGTGCTCCCGTGTCACTACATTCTTATTTCCTAAAAGGAAAGAAGGGTGGCTGAGGAAAGAGATGCTGGGGGCAAAAAGGTATCAACTGGCTTTCAGTTAGAACATGCAAGAAGAAGAGGTTTGCTAGCATCTAAGATCACGTACACACTATGAGGAAAGAAGTGTGCATATAACTCTTTCGGCTCAGTTTAGTTTAAAACTGAGCGGGACAAAAAGCCACTGGGGAGAAAGGCTCTTTGCTCTGGAAAACATGCTAAGGTTCTGATAGCTTACCAGAACTCTCTAGTTCTGAGCTTTAAACCTAGCACCAACTTCATATGGAAGTCAGTCAGACAACTTCCAAGATTTAGCTTCTGAGTTAACACTCCTCTATGTACATCAAAGCACTGATACTTACCTGTGCAAGTTATTACGACATCAACTTGCCGGATGACTTCATTTAGCTTTACCACCCTGAACCCATCCATGCTGGAAGAAAAGGAAAGAACATTATGACCAAAGCAAGAAGGCAGTGGGAGAGAAGCTGGTCACAAAATGAGGCAACTAAATCTTCTAAAGTCAGATCAGTGCTACCTCACAGGGATGACAAGTGACCAGCTGTATTAAACGACACACACTGGCCTCTTCAGACTCCCCAAGATTCCACCCAGGAAAGGAAATGCCAAGAAGCTCTAGGAAAGCCTCAGGATTAGCAATCCTAGCTTTCTTCCCCCCTGTGAGATTTCTGCGAGGAAAGGTGAACGTGATCAATCATGAGCCCTCAGGAATATAAGGTACCCAGAGTGAATCTAATAGTATTACCAATCTGCTCTTACCAGGCCTGGAGAGCACAGATGGGGTCGATTTCTGTGATGTAGACAATTGCTCCAAGAGCCTTGAGAGCAGCACAACAGCCCTTTCCCACCTGCAGAGCACAAGAAAGAAGTCAGGCTGTCAGGCTCATTAAGGCATGGGTGGTGGGTTAGGCGGGCTGTTTGGGAGATGGGAATTAACCTTCCTGAAATCACTCAGCATCTAGTGAGCACACGCAGGGATGCTCCAACCCCAGGCAGAGCAGAAATGGACCCAGATTATGCTGTAAATCTTAAAAGTCAGACAGGTAATTTAGCAAACATTTCATAGTAAGGGCTGGAGCTTTGCATAGTAAAAAAGATCAAAGAAATAAAAGGTGTTATCATTAGGGAAACAAGGCCAAGGAAGAGCAACTATAACCTCTAATTTCTTATTCTGAAAAACCTGGTAACTCTTACTTGAGATGCATCTATTTAAGAACCGTCTAGCAGGTTAGGAGCTTCCATGGGTCATAGCTGATGACAATAAAATCCCCCAAAACCTATTCCAGTTTAGAAATAAGCAACTATATACCACTTTGGACCCCACCCTCCACTCCAGAGCAAGTCACCCGTTGGGCTAAAATGCTACATATGCACTTGAATTAAGCCTCACAAAAGATTTTGTTGTAACTGGGGGGAAATGATGCTGAGATTCCATTCCACAAGACAAACTGGTGAAATCTGAAAACTCACTTCATTTGAACGTCTTACTTACAGCTCTGAATAAAAGACTTCTGCTATTCTTTTGAGATACATTCTTTAAAAGCAGACTTTAAACCCTGCATGAGTGACTCTAGACTGACAGCACAAGTCTTCACCCAACATTCCTAGTAAGTCTACGAAAAGACAGAGAGAGACATTGAGGCCCAGCTATTTACCTCACCATAGCCACACACCACCACTTGTTTCCCACCAAACATCACATCTGTAGTCCTCTTGAGGCTGTGGAAACAGACAAGGGCTCAATTCAAACATAATTAACTCAAACAGTCCCTCTGCATGAAGTTAAAAGCGTGGAGCAATGCCCCTGACAACTGCAATTGGAAGCGGGCTGAGCTCAGTACGAAATGGGCCCTCTAACAAACTTTTAAAGCCAAGAGATGATCAGGGGACATGGCTGGAGTGATAGCAGATGAACACTGCAACCCACTCCAAATCTACCCCCCTAAAGTTTCAATCTCTATAAATTTCAACCTACCCATCCAAAATGGATTCTCGGCAGCAGTACAAGTTATCAAATTTCTGTTTGGTAACAGAATCATTGACGTTCATGGCCGGAACACAGAGCTTCCCAGCTTTGGAGAGCTGATACAACCTAAAGGGAAAAGAGGCCACAAAAACCAAGTTAGCCGCTAAAGCGTAAAATGTGGCAAAACCTGCCTAATTCTCTTCAAGGTCCACGCTGCCCTCCCAGCCTTATTAACTGCCCAAGGTACTAGTCAACAAGATCATCTCTTTGTCATCTCACCTTACTTTTTATTTTCTTTTTCCCTGCCCCCTCCCCTACTTTCTTCTTAGAAGAAAAAAAAAAATCCTTTCAACTGAAGAAATTTACTTCTCTTACATATTTCCTTACACCAACATTTCTCAAGCTTTAAAAATCCATGGCTACTTCTGATAAACAAAGATTATCATTGATTCTGAAATGGGTCCCTGTGTGTGTGTGAGAGCATGTGCAATATGCCCCTGACTGAGAAACACACTTTCAGTTATCTTTTATGTATCCCCACAAGCCAACAATATTTTGCCCAGTTTTATTTTCTGGAGTGTGCATAACGAATAGTTTTACAATAGGATGTTTTTCTTTTTTACATATTTCAAATATAAAATTATAATACAATATTGAATACAGTTTTTCAAGGTACACTCACTCCCCACCTCCCAACACTGGCTGAGAATCACTCAGTGGAGTAAATGGGAGAGAAAAATATGTGAACTAGAACCTGAAATAACTTCCTTATAAGGTCACTTTGGTTTTTCAAAGAATAAAAACTCGAAAGTCTTGTCTAGTGAAGATGTTCCCATTTAGTTACTCTAAATCTGGAACACAGCCCTAAAGCCTAACAGAGACCAGAAGAATTTGCTGAGGCAAGGACACAAGGGGCAGCTACTCCAGAATCTGTTACCTGTGAACACCAGTCACGCTCTCTTCCACAATGCCTCGGATCTTCTTAAACACGTTTGGATACTTCTTATAAACCCAGTGGGTTAAGTCTCCCCCATCATCCAGGATCTATAGAACAGCCAGAAGACTTCTATGGGCATTCAGGCTGCTAGAGCTGGGGGGAACTTTGAACCCACTTTCTGCACTAGTAAGAGAGCCCTGTATGTTTTGGCAGAGCACTTCTTAGAGCTCCTTAGAGCAGGCTTAGACAGTGGAAATACAGCGAAATTTGTTGGTGTAAAATGGTTAAAAGGATTTCTAGGTTTGTCCTAGGCTATGACGTAGAGTATTATTAGGCTTATCACAGATTCATCTTTACTCTAGAGTGTTGAAATATGCGGACCCTTTGAACGCAAAGGAGAGCTGGAGTGGAAAGAAAAAAACTAGAATCGTACTAAAAAAAGGTACCACATCATTTCCTTCTAATTCATTCTGCTGTGCTCGAGTCACATGTGTTCAGCTAGTCTTACCCTTCCCCCACCTTTCCATTCAGTACTCAGTACCAATTCTGAACAGGTACCAAGCTAAACACTTTAGCAACAAAGTCAGTGCGTAGGACCAAACATCCAAAACATATTTAGGGAACCATGCTTTGAGGGAAAAAAGGAAAATCTATTGTCAGAAGTACAGGACAGATATGCATTATTACCATGTTGGCCTGCCACCCATCCATGTTCACACAGCGGTCAATACACCACCAGAAGTCGTCTTCTGACTCGCCCTTCCAAGCAAACACAGCAACTCCTATTGAAACAGAACACATCAGCTGATTCTTCCTTTGAGGAGTGCCCTACTCCACTAATGCTTTCTGAGAACCCATGAAGAGAAAAAGACCAAAGAAACTATCTATCCTGGAAAGGAAACAATTACCAAGAGCAAAAGGAGTCAAAATAGTACTTTCAGATCAGAAATTACTTTGGTTAACATTTAGAGATTAAAAATAAATATTCTGGAGCCTTGAAATGTTATTCTGTTAGGGCTAGTAATTTCACTTAGAACTCTATCAGAAGAGAGAAAACAAAATGAGTATAATACAAAGTTGTTTAGTAGAGCATTATTTATATTAGCAAACATCTTGAAACAACTTAAGTGTTTAACCTTAGGAAAACAGTGAAGTAAAATCACATGGTGATGTGAATGAGTATTACAAACAATGCTTTCAGTGTTTTTCAGTGAGCTGGAAAACTACTCTGAAAATATTTTATTTAGGTTACAAAACTGTACACACTCTAAGATTTATTTCATCTCTGTCAAAAATGAATTTAAAAACAGGGGAAGATAGGTCAAATATTATCTCTGTGTAGTAGAACTATGAATTTGTTTCTGGAAATTGCTAAATTTTCTGGAATAAATACTTACTGGAAAAAAGTGAATAACAAAACCAAACGTATTATAAAGTTACTTTCTGAGGATTCCAGGAAGATGAGAGGTCCTTAAAGAAACTTTATGATGACTTGCTTTTGAACATTTTAACATGACAAATTATTTCATGTTTAATTAAATTCACAAGCAGTCCATGTATTTTTCAACCCAATATCGAATACCAAATTGTGAACTATAAACAGAGAAGATACTTCTTCCCTGTGTTCTCTCTCAAAACTGATGAGACTTTTGATGAAAAGAGACTTGTTCAGCTCAAATTTATACAGCTTATATAGTTTAATATTTGTACTTGTTCACTTGATATTAGAATTGGGCATTTCCCCATGTCATTAGATTATTTTCAAAGATCATTTTTAATGACAGCATAATATTCCATCATAGATATGACATTAATTTTATTATCCAATCTCTCCCGGTTGATGTTTTTATTATCCCCCAAATTTTATAGCTCCTAGACATAAATGATACTGTAATGACAATTTTGATACACAATAGTTATGTTCAGATAATTATTTTGAGGCAAAGTTGGTGAAAAAAGTTGAACTTACCAGCCTCAGCCAGTGCTGCAGCCACTTCATTCTGAGTGGAGTAGATGTTGCAAGCAGACCAGCGGCACTGAGCCCCCAGGGCACAGAGTGTCTCAATCAACACCTGTCCAGATGCGTGGGAAGACAGGGTGAAAAAGAAGAGGCCCAGACAGCAGTGGCATGCATGCAAATCTCATTAAGAGAACAATACCCATCACCTCTGAACCAACAGGTGCTATGATGGGAGATTAGAAAAGCGTTTTGTAACCCAGTTAGGTGGCACAATGGTATCTAACTTTACCCAAAAGATATGTTCCTAAAAGTCTTAATAACATTTTTATAACAGTCGTATTTTTGCAAATCTAGATCTTCCTAAGTCAGGTTTGCTAAAAGTGGATTATAACTACACAAAGTAGAGAATTCCATTATTGTATAACAGGGAGGTCCCACCTAATAGTTAGCATCTGGAGGTTGGCTAATAAGGAAGGAGAAGAAGTTTAAAAAAAAAAAGAAAAAAATCTGTTCCTTTCTTCTCCTTATCAGAAGTCCCTCATTTTTCTCCCCATGAACTCACCGCTGTCTGGGCTGTGATGTGTGTACAGCCCACTATTTTAGCACCAGCCAAGGGCTTCTCCCCTTGAGCACGTTTCCTGAGTGAAATCAGAGCAGACATGTCTGTGAAAGAACAGAGGATTTGAGCTAGGTGTGCACTAGCAACATTATCAGTTCCCTTAGTGACATCTAGGGCTGGCCTGGATTTGCTGAGATATGGTGAGACGACGCAGAACAACTCTGAACTTATTTCCATGATGACTGGCAGTGTCAAAAGCAGAACAGTGAGGAGTCATCATCCGATCACTTGGAAATCCTCTCTTCCTCCACTGCTTCAGAGGACTGAATAGAAAATGAAGGAAATTCTCAAAACTGGTAAAAATGGATCAAAATGGAGGATGAGTGTTATTCATTTGGGAGGAGAAGGAAGTAGCTATGGCACTGACTAATGAACTCCTATATGCAATCATCAGACGAAGAAGAAAGATTTTAACCTCAGCAGAAGCCACTTGCTTCTGTTTCCCCAGGCTGCCTGAGCCCACCGTGTCAGTTTGGTTTCCCTACTCCCTCCCAATATAGAACATGCCCTCAAGGTGGAAACAACAGGAGAACCATGAGACATTACTGGAGGTGGGACAGAGAAATCAAGATTTAACCAATTAAGTGTCAGTCACTTTTACTCTTGCTCCAACAGAGGGTGCTCAGGACCAAACAAGATCCTAGGTCACCACATCTTTAGCTTAAAACCCTGCTAGGTCTGCTGCTTCTGGGATATCTGGGTCTCTGTGATTGGCAGAAAGAGCCCTGGTGGTGCAGTGGTAAAGCGCTCAGATGCTAACTGAAAGGTTGGCAGTTTGAACCCACCAGCTGCTCCTTGGGAGAAAGATGTGGCAGTCTGCTTCTGTAAAGATTTACAGCCTTGGAAAACCCTACAGGGCAGTTCTACTCTGTCCTATAGGGTCCTGCAGAGTCTACTATAGAGTTGGAATCAACTCGACGGCAATGGGTTTGGGTGTTTTTGGTTTGGTGATTGCAGGTATGGTAGGATCCTACAGAACTAACCACCATATATAGTGATCTAGGATTTGCTGATTCTGCAACGGAGATCTCTAAATATAGTGCCAGGAGAGAAGAATAGAAGCTACTCTGTGTGTAATTACCACGTGCTGAGAACAGGAAAAAGGGAGAACAAGAACCCTGAGGCTCACGCTCCATACACAGAGAAGTGTTTGTCAAAAAGTCCAGGATGCTGTATTTTGCCGAGAACATCTTCAAAAGTGAGTTTTCAAGGCTTAAGTTGGTTCTGGATCCTGACGACCAGCAAGAGGGCTGCTTCTGGTCCCTTTGCCCATTTGAGTCCCTTACTCACTCCCTTTCTTTACCTTGCTCTGCAATTTCGATCTCCCGGCGTCCAAATTCTGCCTGCTTTATGTTCTTCACGCAAAAATTGCTGCTGCCCTTGGAGTTGGTTTGCTGCTTCTCTCGTGGGGAAACCTCATCATCAGAGCTATCTGTGTAGGATGCAGCTAAAGCCAGGAAAAGAAACAAGGACAGAAAAACCTCAATGGCCCCAATTCTACAGAGCGCAGCCCTGAAGGGACTCCCATTTAAGTTAAATGAACTCTCTTAATTGGAGCCACCTTTTACATCACTCTCAGTTCTAGGGTCTAATAGATGGTATGAATGAAACTGCTGAGGATCTTTCACTGTTGTGGCCCTTCTACCCATCCTGATGCCACCAGTGCCTGTGACAAGGAGCCACTAATCCTAACCCTGTGTCAGCTCTAGTGAAACCCATAAAATAGGACTACTCGGTACCAACCTGGACTAGAACTAGACAAAAACCGAAAACTAGGCAAAAACCGAAGAATAATTTAAGCAATAAGAAATGCTATTTCTATAGATCACTGGTTCTCAAACTTAAGCATCTAAAGCATCTATCAGCAACATGTGGACGGCTGATTAAAACACAGATTTCTAGGCCCCACACCAGAGTTTCCCAGTCAGTAGGTCTTGGTTGGAGGCCAAGAATTAGCACTTCTAACAAGTTCCCAGGTGTTGCTGATGCTGGTCTGAGGACCACACTTTGAGAAACATTGCTATAGATAAGATAATCTTACAAGGGACTTTACACTAAGTCGCACTGAAGGAATATAGAGATGGAAAAAAATGGCACAAAATGCGAGCAGCTTTGGTTCCACTGCCAGTCATGGAAGTCTGTCCAAATGATCAACTTTAAAAAACAGATGCACATAAAAGTTAAAAATGTCATTTTAAATAGATATGCAAGAGGATGTGCAATATTACTCCTTTCCTCTCTGAACTGAAATTTTCCTCATCACTGTCTCTGCCAGAGAATCAGGTCTCTCTCACTGACTGCTACACATAGGTCCTTCTTCAGTCCAGCTAACACAACTACTACTAAAGGTTATCGTCCCCACTATGACAATTAAACTATATCACTAAGCTTTTTAAAATGTTCTTATAGGTCCCCATACTACATGGCCATCAAGATCTTTGAAGACTTCTTAAAACCTTCTTCACCCATTCCATCTTTCTTCCTCTTGTAACTCAATCTTTCAAAATTAATTTGTCTTCTTTCTTAGGTATAATCAGCCTGCTTGTCACCTACCACCTTTCATATTTGTCACTCTAAGGTACCTTTTCATTTGTGATAGCCACTATATCTGGAACCTTTTCTTGCATACTTATCCCCACAGTGAATCCGTATATTCATTTATTTCAGTACTTAATGCTGTATACCACATTTGCTCTTGTCTGCCTATTTTGTCTCAACTAGGTTATCAAAGACACAGGACAAAGACAATGCTTTTTGGTTGGTTGGTTTCCTTGTTTCTTCCTTGCACATCAACATCAAATCCAGTCCATAATGTTAATAATACAGTGCAAACAATATTCTGGCAAAAGACAATGACTAGCTTTTGGTACAAATCTCTTTGCTGACATGATTAGCCATCTGTGACCTTGGGCAAGCCTCTTAATCTCTTAGGGACTCAGTTTCCTCAGTTGAACAATGAGCTGGTTAAATTAGATGCCCCTAATGTTTTTTCCAGTACTCAAATCCCAAGATTTGGTATCTCTTTCCATGTTAATATTCATAACACCTTCTCTATAGTTGAGAGCATCATAATTCTAATCAGAAAAAGACTTTACTGACATAGAGCTAAAATAGGAGGAGAGAATTAAAAGAATTTGGGTCACATAATAGTCATCTGAATCCTTCCCACTCCAGAGGTTAACAGGGGAGGATACTTCTACATAAAGGGTAACCTAATAAATAAAAGAGCTAAAATGTTAATTTTTATTCTTACAATCAAGCAGCGTTGGGACAAGAAATAAAAAGATAGGTGGCAAGGGATATTATATAAATAAACTAAGCTTCCAAAGTACAATTCTTCTTCAAGGTCACTTCTGTCAGCCAGAATACCACTGATTCCCTCCCTTTGTGTTGGAGGGGGAATGGGAGAGGGGATAAATGTGGGAATGGGAACCAGCCCAGTACTATCAACAAGTCACTGGCCACAGACCACACACAGAGACAGCCGGAAGAAAAAAGTCTCAAAATGACAAAAGCTTCCCCAGCTACGAGCCTGGCTGGGGACTTCCCACTGCTCAGCCATTAATTATCAGCGTTTGGCACAAAAATGGGCAGTTCTGACATGAAGTATTTTCAGATTTCAGATAAGCGAAGGACTCTGGGCAGTGAACTAGCTCAAGGCTCGGAGAGGACACGAAGCTCACACCTACCTGAACTGTAGCTGTCAGTGGAGGACTGGGAGATGGAGCGAGACAAAGATCTTCGGCCAGTCTTGGTAGGGAATTTGGTGAACTCCTGCATGTCATCAGCAAACTGGATTTGCTATAAGCAGAACATAAAAAGTTGAAAACTTATAATAACAAAGACTATGAAATGTTCCCTTTTTTAAGGCCATATGCTGTCTTCCCTAAAAGCCAACATTACCATGTGGCTCAGAAGTGAGGGAGAGTAGAGGTTACTCTGATTCCTCCCCAAATGCCAATTACTGTCACTTACCAATTGTCTCAGGAGGATTTTTTTTTTGGGGGGGAGGGGTGGTGGTGGTTAAGACTCAATCTCTTTTAGCATTTATTCAATTTTACAATCCTTCTTTCTCACATTCTAGTTTTCTTTCCCCTTATAACCTTGACATGTTAAAATAAACTCTTTACCCTTCTTTCCAACTCTATCGAAAAACAGACACAACCTCATAGCGCTTCTGTTTACTTCAGAATATTCCCTTGTAGCATATTCTTACCCTGAAGTTGGCAATGGTCTTGATTTCTGAAAGAATCATAAAGAGATGCCTAGAAACGCTAATAGACGCTGAGGTGCTAATAGAGCCCACCCATATTCTATACTTCACAAAGCCAACGTAGCATTCCCTGGGACTGTCTACACTCATTAAAGATTTAAAACAAAGAATATACCGATGAAAAAGATATAAGAAAAACATGCACACATCACAGTAAATTCCAGCTAACTAGGACTAATTTGAAGCGGAAAATAATGACTTGGTAAACTCTGGATTAGAAACTTCCTTAAATGAAATAAACCAGAACTAGAGAATTGTTTGAAAAGTGCTTGAAAGACTGGCTTTAATAAACGGCAAACAGCTTGCAATTATTTATAAATAAATTACTGGATGCTTCTAAAGTACATGGAAATACTTTCTTCTATTAAATGGTTTAAACCTCTCTCCTAAACTGTTTAAACTCTGATAAACATTTTTATCAAAATGTAAGATAAACTTCAGCCTCCTAAAATAAACAGGATGGTATGAGACTATGAATTGCGAATCTCCTCCATATCATCACAATCTGACTAAATCTGAAAAGGTTCCCTTGGAGAATCCATTAAGCTAAACCTTTAGCAAATATCTCTGAAAATGCAAGCTATTACAGATTAAAATCTTCTCTCCATGAGGCTAGCAACATAGCTGTGGCCACTCTCAAGCTAGAACAGTGAAGTGCTCATTAGTTACAGCTGCAAAACCTTTCCCTTCTCAGTCACGAGTACTCTCCAGCCAGGGAAGTACCACCTTACAGACTGAAATTCAGCTTAGGCATAGGCAGCTAAAATGAACAAATCAAAAACTGAATTAGTAGAACCCACAGGTTACAAAGCAAAAATCAAGGGAGCACAGATTTGTGCTTTCCACTTTCTTTCTAGCATGATTCACACCAAAAATGAAAGCAGAGACTAACAGCCATGCAGTAACGATCATGTATACCACTATTTGGCAAGCAGGCCCCAGGGGAAATACCTGGGTATTCTTCCACTTAAAACCCACCCAGACTCAACATCCAATTGAGCAAGTTTTTTCCTTTAGGCTACTCTGTGAAATAAGGAGAGGGCAGATACCACTGCCTGTTTTATTAAGTCTGAGGACAGATCCTAAAGGCATGGAACAAAAAGACCTTCACATCCCAACACGTAACCCAGGGCCCTGCACATAGAAGGCACTCAGTAGATAATTGTAGAATGCCTTACCCCTTCAAAATTCTTTATTCTGTAAGATCAAATCAGTCAAGTTTCAAAATAAATAATAACAAAAACTCAAGCTAAACCACATATACTGCAACTTGGTTAACAAATATCTTTGTAAGTCCAAAGCAGCTTTTTTAGTTTTAGATGCTGAAACTTTAATTTTAAATACCTTAAATGTCAAAAGCACAAGTGCCTTCCAAAAAAACACTCAATGAGATAGTCACAGGTCAGCATTAGTCCTTCTAGATAGAATTTCCCACTGCAAGTTCATGTGACTTCTGCAGTCAGCAAAGCTTGTTTTACTGAAGAGATTAATCCAGGACCAAGGTAATGACTTTCAACCCAATATGCAGTTATTT